ATGAATACCTTTTATTTCTTTTTGTTATCTGATTGCTGTTGCTAGGACTTCTAGTACTATGTTGAACAATAGTGGCAAGAGTGGACATTCTTGTCATGTTTCTGATCTTAAGGGAAAGGCTCTCAGCTTTTCCCCATGAGGAATGATCTTCACTATAGATTCTTCATAGGTGGATTTTATGAAGTTAAGGAATGTTCCCTCTATCCCTATACTCTGAAGAGTTTTAATTAGGAAAGGATGCTATATTTTGTCAAATGCCTTTTCTGCATCAATTGAGAGGATCATATGGTTCTTCTCTTATTAATTTGTTCTGTTACATTGATTTGTGAATGTTGAACCACCTTTGCATCCCAGGGATAAATTGCACCTCGTAGTGATGGATAATCTTTTCAATGTACTGTTGGATCCTGTTAGCTAGTATCTTGTTGAGAATCTTGGCATCTGTATTCATCAGGGATATTGGTCTGAAATTCTCCTTTTTGACGGACTCTGTGCCTGGTTTTGGGATCAAGGTAATGCTGGCCTCATAGAAAGAGTCTGGAAGTTTTTCTTCTGTTTCTATTTTTTGAAATATCTATTCTCCTGAAGCTATTATTTTCTTAGAATGTTTGGTAGAATTTCCCAGGGAATCCATCAGGTCCTGGACTCTTGTTTTTTGGGAGGTTTTTGATTATTGGTTCAATCTCATTACTGGTTATTGGTCTATTCAGGTTGTCAGTTTCTTCCTGTTTCAGTCTTGGAAGTTTATAGGTTTCCAGGAATGCATCCATTTCTTCTAGGTTGTTTAACTTATTGCATATAGCTCTTGATGATTTCTGATGACTGTTTCTATTTCCTTGGAATTAGTTGTGATCTCACCCCTTTCATTTATAATTTTATTATTTTGGGTCTTTTCTTTCTTTTGGATAAGTCTGGCCAGTGGTTTATTGATCTTATTAATTCTTTCAAAGAACCATCTTCTGGTTTCATTGATGTGTTCTGCTATATTTCTGGCTTCTAATTCATTGATCTCTGCTCTGAGCTTAATTATTTCTCTCCTCGTGCAGGACTTAGGCTTAATTTGCTATTGATTCTCCAGTTCTTTAAGGTGTAAGGAGAGTTTGTATATTCGGGATTTTTCTATTTTTTTGAGTGAGGCTTCGATGGCTACGTATTTCCCCCTTAGGACTGCCTTTGCTGTATCCCATAGGTTTTGGACTGATGTGTTTTCATTCTCATTGGCTTCCATGAATTGTTTAAGTTCTTCTTTGATTTCCTGGTTGACCCAAACATTCTTGAGCAGGATGGTCTTTAGCTTCCAAGTGTTTGAATTTCTTCCAAACCTTTTCTTGTGATTGAGTTCCAGTTTCAAAGCATTGTGTTCTGAGAATATGCAAGGAATAATCTCTATCTTTTGATATCAGTTGAGACCTGATTTGTGACCCCGGATGTAGTCTCTTCAGGAGAAAATTCCATGTGCACTCGAGAAGAATGAGTATTCTGTTGTTTTAGGGTGGAATGTTCTGTATATATCTATGAGGTCCATCTGGTCCAATGTGTCATTCAATGCTCTTGTTTATTGATTTTCTGCTTGGATGATCTATTACTGAGAGTGGCACATTAAGATCTCCTACTATTAATGTATTCATATTAATATGAATTTATCTTGATTAACAGTTTTCTTATGTAATTGGCTGCTCCCATGTTAGGGGCATAGATATTTACAATTGTTAGATCCTATCCTTGGATAGACCCTTGAAGAGTGATATAGTGTCCTTCTTCATCTCTTGTTACAGTCTTTATTTTAAAATTCCTATTCTAAGATTTGGACATTTCTCTAGTATTTAAAACTTAGCCTCAATGCCACTGCTATCACAAAGCTGTCCCTGAGTACCACCTTGTCTAGAAATTAACCCCATCCAGTTCCTTTCCCTTTATATTAAAATCACATTGCTCATCACATTCTGAATTATAGTTATTTTTATCTTTTTCCAGACTCTTCCATTAGATTGTGAGTTACTGAGGGAAGAAACCTCCTTTTAGATATCTGTGTATGCATCCCAGTGTCAGGGATATGCTTTGCATACAGTGCTACTTAAATATTTATTGAATTGAAATGAATTAACAGGTACAGTTTGATTATGTGGTTCTTAACTAATACTCTTCATGAAACAAGGAGGTAAAATTAAAGCACTTTAGCTAGAACTCCTAGATCTGCCATCTCCAGACCGGAGCCATACCTATAAAGGGCTGACTTCAGGAGCAGCACACATATCAAGTCTTAGGGCTTGTACCTTAGGGCTTGCAACATGACAGGTGTCCAGACACCCCCAGGTAAGTAGGTAGGTCAGGGAGATGGTTCCTAGCAACCGGGGTGCCAGGCTTGGAAACATGGTACAAAGTGGCCCTCCATCAGATACAAATACACATTGTAAACAGAGCTGATCCCCGAACAGCACAACCATTCTGCCCCTACCAGTGACATAGATTTCTTCTTGACCGTACTTCTGGCTGATGAAGTTCTTAATGATGTTGAAGACCAGCTACAAGTAAGTAGTCAGACTCTCAACTGGCTAAATACATGGAGTTATCATCCTAGGTGGATTAGTCATTGCAACTCAGGGAGCCATTAGTACTGATTCACTGGTTACAGTTGCTCTCCTCTAATTCTCTCTTGAGCCCATTTAAACACAGCTTTCACCCACCAACACTGTTCTTAGTGAGATCATCAGTGACCAGTGTGTTGCCACTATGTTTAATTCTTAGTCCGTCCTCACCTTACTTGACCTGCCAGCAGCATGGACCCTGTTGATCCCTCCCTGTTCCTGGAGGGCTGCATTTGACTCCTGGCACAGGATGCCCTTGCAGCTTTTCTGGATGCTGCTGCTTTTCTTTGCGGGTTCTTCCTTTGCTTCCTGGGCTCTGAACTTTGTGGTCCCCTAACGTAAAGCACACGCCTCAGAACTCTTCCCTTTTCTATATTCATTTTCTTGGCAATGCCATCCAGTCTCATGCCTTTCAGTACTGGCTACCTGCAGACAAATTCCAACTTTATCTTCTCCAGCCAAAGATCCAACTGCTGTACAACGTCTCATGTAGGTGTCTGCTAGTTAACTAGCTCAGTCAGCATTCCAAAACTGAACTTCTGATCTCCCCACCCCCAACCTGCTCTTCTCACAGGCTCTCCATTTCAGTGAATCACAACAACCAAGTAGTTTTTCACCAGTAACTCTGGTGTCATCCTTCAGTCTTTTCTTTTCCTCAGACCATGTCCAGTCTGCCAGCAAATCTATTGACTGTACCTTCAAAATACATCCAGAATCTGACCATTTTTCACACCCCCCCCCCACTGTTACTACCCTGAGCACAATTACAGAACTGTTCTGCTCTCTATGGACTATAACATACAGGGTTAATGTGTCAATCAGAGTTAAAAGTCTATATAAAGAACTTTTAACACAATGCTGAGCAAAATGTGCTCAATATATTTTTGTTTTTATTATTTCTGGTTTCAGACAAGATTTCAAGGAGATAGGACTAGTAAAATTGAAGCCCTTGGCTCCTTTTAATGCAACTGAATTTTCTTGTTCAACACATGCAATTTCAAGTTTTAAGATTTTAACAGAGTTGAATAAAGTAAGATGTGTTACTGAGCTTAGCTTCTTAGAAGGAAAAACAAAAAAATTTAACTTACCACAAAACTGTCCCAAGAGCCAAAGAAAGGGTTAAATAGTACAATGGCAATTTGAGTCATTGGAATCCTCTAGCCTGAGTAAGAGTAATTTTCAGATAACCTGACACCTTTAGCCTACAAAATATTTTTAAATCAAGGTTATAGGAGATTGTTACTTATGATATCACACAGCTGTGTATGGCTCTGACTTCGCAACCTGAAAGAACTTGGGGGACAGGAGCAAACTGGTTGACTATTTCTATAGCAACAGCTGCTTACGTAATAGCCACGACTTGTATAAAACTGCCTCATACTGTTTATCTGTCGTCTCACTTCATCGGTCATCCCAACTAATTGTTAATAGGTAGGAAGTCTGGAAAAATCTTTAGCAGTAATATCTGAAATGTCAACAATATTAAAATAAGCCTGAATGGTATAGGAAGCATCTCAGATAAGGCATAAATTACACATACATATTTTGCTAATAAAAACCACTGTACTACAGCAGCAGAAAAATAGTTTCATAGCATTTAGCTTGTCCCTTTTTAATGTAGTCACTTTGGTAATATATGTAGTAAGGTTTTTGAATAGATAAAAAAAAAAGTTCATCTAATTTCATTTTAATGTTTGTGGAAAATCACCCTTTCTTTACACTTATTTTTTCATTTTTTTTTCTTTCAGTCTGTACAAATTGTGTGTGTGTGATCTACTATGTGCTGGATAATGAGAAAAAACAATGATGAATTGTTTTTATTACACTTTAGAATTGTAAAAATGGGTGCCTGGGTGGCTCAGTGGGTTAAGCCGCTGCCTTCAGCTCAGGTCATGATCTCAGGGTCCTGGGATCGAGTCCTGCATCGGGCTCTCTGTTCAGCAGAGAACCTGCTTCCCTCTCTCGCTCTCTCTGCCTGCCTCTCTGCCTACTTGTGATCTCTATCTGTCAAATAAATAAATAAAATCTTTAAAAAAAAATCGTTTTCTTTTCTTTAGAATTGTAAAAATATAATCCTTTTACATTTAAGAGCTAGGTTCTAATGGCTTTGGATGTTTTAAGAAGGGGGAAATAACTCCAGTATGAAATCATCAGTTAACTGTGCTTAATTTGCTATTAGTTTTTCTTTGTCCAAATTTGATTATGTATTAAACTCTCTGGTCCTCTGATACATACATGATGTATACAACATAACAGAATTTTATTTCACATTAGATGTAAAAGTTATAGTAAACTCCCATTGGGGCTGGGGCAGGATTATTTCAGCTAGTCCATACATGTTATATGCTAATATTTATTTTTTTATAGGATGTCCTGATAACACATTATATGCTAATTTTTGTTTATTTTTTGTAGGATGTCCTGGCTGTGCAAAGTTGGAAGTCCTAGCTCTCGCATTGACCGCACGAACTTTTCTAATGAAAAATTCATTTCTAAACTTGACTACTCAGATTTTAGTATTCGATACTAATAGAAGAGAAAGAAAAATTTTAATGCTTATAATGCACACTAGATATTCTTAAGTCTGTATTAGAATATTAATAGATTAAGTTCAAAAAGGAACTTTCTGTTCTGAAAGGTAAAACAGAATGTGTTACTAAAAATGTCTGACACAAATAGTTTTACTCAACTATGTTTTTAAAAAGTAAAAACTTCGCATTACAAAACACTTAATATGAATATTTAAACTTACTAATGGAATCTTTAAGTCTAATGAATGTTCTAGCAAACATGTTATTTGGCTAGGCTTAAAATAAAGCTAACCATTTAAGGATTATTTGTCTGAAATGAATTCTAAAACCTTCTGCATAATATTTTATTATTGAAGTTGAGTCATTTGTTTAAAATAAAGACCCAGTCATTAGGTATAAATGTATGATGATTAGTATAACCATAAAGTCCTATCAATAAAGAATTAATTTTTAGAATCCTGGTTGAGGTTGGAGCTGCTTAATGCTTCCTATGAACTATATGGTTCTGTATAGTAAGCAGGTGAGTGATGGAATGGATAAGACCCCACAATTACAGTATAACCAACAGCAAGATTTGTGTCAACGGCTATCTACAATGAATGTCCTATTAACCAGAAAGGGAACTGAGAGTCTAAATAAATCATCCTGTCCCCTAACCTTGACCTATCATCTGGGGATTTTCATCTGTAAATGGTAATTAATTAAGGAACAGAATAGTTTAAGGGGAAGGTTCATTTCTATACCATAGAATTACACTCTTGAAAGGGGAAGATCTTTAACTCCAAATGCTGGGGAGTTTCAAATGTTATAGGTCTATACATGCATATATCCTTCAAGGATTTCCTAATTTTTCTAACACCGGAATCCTTCATGAAAACAACATTTTACATGAAGTACCTAAAGGAAGTGCAACAGCACAGCTAGTAGGATTGAAATGGGCACGGAGTTCCCTGCATGCCTGCACGCTTGGTCTCACTTGCTCTGCTGCATCTTGTCGGCCTTGCACAATTTCACACACCCTAGGAATACACATTAGAAACCACCATTCCACCTAGGGAACCGATCTCCACTGCTCCTCTCCATGGTGTGGAGCAAGAAAACTTTAGGCCTCTCTCCCTCACCTGCTGCAAGATTAGAACTGACAAAAGGAAATGAAATGGGGCTGACGTTGTTTCTTTGAAAGGTTAACTCTATGGATAATGGTAATATTATCAAATATACATACGACGGTACAACATCAACGAATGACAAAGATATTTTTTAAACTTTCCAAGAACACTTATCATAATAAACTTTCCTGTTATTCTAGTGTTATCATCACGTTGAGTATTATACTCAACATGTGTCAAATATTATACAGCAGACTCTATTGTGACACTCATTTGAATTTTACTCTCCTTTTATTTCCCTACTCCTTCCTGTTTGAAGGCACAGAGAAAAGCCTTTGTGTTCCCTAAGCTCCGGGAAAGCTTTGGTGCTAGTCTCCTAAAGACAACTTCTCTTCCCAGGTTTTAATTTTAAAGAGGGCATGATGTTATGAGTTGAGAACAAAGATAAACACTTGGCCTTTAACAGGTCAAAGAGAAGCAGAAGTGGCAAGAGCCAAGGGTAGGAGGAGAGTATCCAAGACTTTGGAAAGGGACCAAAGGCTGTGGGTTTCCCAAGAGATGGAGACCTGCATGTTTTTTCCCTAGTGGCCCCTGTACGGGATGGCTGCACCTGGGGGCGGGGGGGGGGGGGGGGGGGGGGGGGCTGGAGCATCCAGAAAAGTGGGATCCCAGGCCCAGAGAGTCCTGCACCAGGCAGGATTCCTGTCCCCAAAGTGCTACAAAACCACCAGTGGCTTGGACAGTCATCCTGGTACCTGGAATGGACTGGAAACCAGGGAAGTCTTTCCTGAATGCTCTTTCTGCATAAGACCCTTTATGTGGTCCTTCTGGAAGATGGTAGAAAACCCCAGGGATGACTGAGAATTAACTTCCCACCTCTCAAGATGGGACTTGAAACAGCCTTGATTTGATTTACAGCAAACAAAATAGACATTTCTTGCACACTCAAGTTTGAAACAAAATCTCTTTACCCATAGGAAGACTAAGTGATTTCAGAAAAACACCGTCTCAGAAGTGACATCAATATGTCACTTTTTATTACCTCAATACCCTCTGTTAGTTCCCCTGCCAGATCTCTTTGTAAGAAAATCATACTTTGCTGGCACAATCTCCTAACCGCACAAAGAGAACCACATTAGTCAAGGTTGCTTAGTGATGATCGTGTAACTAAATTCTATTACTGGATGAAGAATGTTGTAAATAATGATTAAAAGTAAGTGTTCATGAATGGGTAGAAAGCGAGAGGGGGAAAAGAAAGGTAAACCGTGTTATTGAGACCAGGTAACACATCTTACTGGTAAACTTGATAATGTCAGCTTTCACAGTGAACGCACATAGGGAATTTTGAACTTACATATTTTAGATAATAATAAACCTTGACAGGCTTAGTGTTGTCAGATTTAGACATTTAAAAAGCCAAGAAAAAAAAAATTAAGCCAAAGATCTTCTTCAGTGACAATTACCCAAGTGTCACGATACTGCACATGCCCACACCCTCAGAATCGGGGGGTACGATTTGTAAAAGCATATTAAATACTATTTTTTATGTTCATATGAAAATGCCTATCTTTAAAAAGCTAGCTCAGGAAATAAAGGTCAGTACAATCTTCTTGGCTGGAGGGAATATGCAAAAGAGACTTTTCACCAGCTGGGGTTTATAGAAGTGACTGGAGTGTGGGGGAGAGATTTTCCCATCAGGAAGGGTATGGGCTCCTGAGCTTGAGAAGAAGCAATGGAGGTTTCATCTGACACTGGGAATCTCTAAGCTCAGGGGCAGATCCTGCAGCCTGACAGTAGCTACCTTTTTTTTTTTTTTTAAATCACTATATTTATTTATCAAAGCATCAGGTGATTTCAAAAAGTAGCTACTTGTGGTAACAAAGGGCAGAGAAGCACTGAAGGAAGAAAACTGACAGGCAGTGGGAGAGAGGTGGGGGATGGGGACACAGCCACTTGGACTAGTTTGTGCCGGAAGCCAGTTGCTGCTGTTATGATGAAATATTTTTAACTGTCTACCAAAGGAATTTTTGAGAAGCACCACCTATCTCTAAGCTCACAATTAGAGACAACAGAAGACCAGAATCTACTGCCAAATATTAGCCTGTATTTGGAAGGTCTATAGTTCACAAATATATTTCATATGGTCGCTCTCTCTGGTGTCCGTTAATTTAAATGTCAAAGAATGTTCCTTATTTAGTTCAAGGGAAGCGCTTCCTTGATCTGGAACTAATTTCGGGAACTGCAAATTAGGCAACTTTGTGCAGTAGACAATAGGAATCAGAAGACATGCATTCTGGGCCCAGCCTATCCATTAATTAGCTGTATGCCTAGGTACATTTGCAAAATCATGAGTTTCAACTAAATTGAGACTGTTTGCAGGATTCCCGTAAGCCAGGGGCCTCCCAGGAGGTGGTGCCAGGAGAGGTACAGAAGGACCCTGGGAAAGATGGACCAGCTGAGGGTCCCAAGATCTGCTCCAGTCAGAGCGGCCCTGCTCTCCTCTCTTCTGTGTATTAGGATTCTCCCTAAGACATCTGAGAACAACATGTCCTCAAAGAAACACAAACAACAACAAGACACTGAATTTAGGATCTGGGGTCTTCTTTTCTGAGTGTCTAAACATGTTAACTCGAATTCATGTCCTGTTCTCTCATCAAGCCAGTGTGGCATGTAGGGTCTACCTTTAGCCCCTTCCACAGAAACGTGCATAGTTTATGAAAAGTACTATAAATTCTTTGTTTTCGCAGTGGCCTCCATAAAGTTCCATGGTAGCTAAAATATTTCTGAAATTGATTTCCTTGGTCTTGTTTCTATGTTACCAAAATGAAAAACATACAAGAGGAAATACAGATATGTAATTAGTGGGTTAATTAAAATGTATTTTACAAGCATATCTTGGAGATCTTTATTTTAACCTGACATTTAGAATTATGTGTTAGAGGTAATTTTCCTTTTCTTAATTGATTCAAATTGTTTGGAATAAAACCAGAGTCTGAGAAAAATTTTAAACTTTAAGAATTAAAAAGTCTAGTTACTATGTGATTGGATTAGCAGGTTTTTCTACAGAAAGTGGATTTTCCCCCTGGCTTGGAGATATGATTTACGCTCTCTCTGCTGCTAAACACATACATGATTGGTTGGATGTCCAAGATGCTTTTATCCTCCAACTATGTTTTCCTTTTATTAGCTTTATTTTCCATGGTGTCATGGTGGACTCTGCCAGAAACAGTGAACACAAGCCTCCAATAAGACAGCTGATGCTTCCCCCCTTCTCTCTTTTTTTTTTTTTTTTTTACAAATACTAGAAATGCATAGGGAAAGAGAAGATGCAAGAGATTAATTGTATTGGAAATAGAGTTTGTTTCAAAACAAGTATTAAAAGCAAGGATTACAGTCAGTCATTTGGTCATTTGCAAGCTTCAAGGCCAAATTTCTAACTGAATTCAGTGCACATTAATCTGTATTAACAATATGCTTGCAATGCTTCTCCAGGACATCGGCATAAACAGGTAGACACAATGTACCAACAGTTTTGAGATGCAGTATCTACAACAACCAGAATAAATGGAATAAATAGAAATCCTACTTTTCGGGTACTATTTTTTGAGGTAGCAAGTGAAGAATCAAGACTTCGCTCTGTTCTCTGATCACAACTACCGTTCTTTCGGTAACTGGCATCATCTCGCTTCTCAATCCAAGCACGCAGGAAAGGGAAGGACGCAGGCAGTGGCATCCTGGATCGGAAACGAGGCCAGGTAGCTCCTTACACGTTCACTTGATAATGATTTGAACTTCCTAAGTTATTTTACATATCCTTTCCTATGTGTATTGTATAATTTTTTTTAAAGATTTTATTTATTTGACAGCCAGAGATCACAAGTAGGCAGAGAGGCAGGCAGAGAGAGAGAAGAGGAAGCAGGCTCCCTGAGGAGCAGAGAGCCCGATGCGGGACTTGATCCCAGGATCCTGAGACTATGACCTGAGCCGAAGGCAGAGGCCTAACCCACTGAGCCACCCAGGTGCCCCTGGTATTGTATAATTTAAAAAAACTAAGTCTCTTAGAAATCTCATAGCAAAATAACAAAATACTGGATTGGACGAGATCAACCATTCTGGGGCTTTAGACTTGAGAGGGATACCTGCCCTCTGTTGGCAAATACCAGTATATAACCAAACTCTCCGCATGAAAAGATA